TTACCAATATGAAACATTTCAAACTATCTTTGAAAAAGTGTCTCATCCGCCATGCCTTTTACTCATTAGACGACTATAAACAACTTAGCGACTAGGCAGTTATGTTTCAATGTATTTTAACATGTGTTATATTTAAATACTTTATTTTATTTAATTTGTAACAAGGATATTTGTGATGTTTTTTTCTTAATGTTTATATCCAATGAGAATTTTCTCTCTCTTTATGTACTGTGACTTATATCATGTTGTAAAGCAACCATAAGAGATTAAATAAATATCTATCTATCTATATCTATCTATCTATCTAAAATAATGAAGTTGACAGCTATTTCCGGTATAACCGGAAATTTTGAAAATATATTAGCCGAGTTGCCCCCATTGACTTTATTGTCGAATTTTCAGATTCTTTCTGATTATAGTTTTCCCATTATCGATCGATGCAGTTCCTGGAGATTCATATTGAATAGAAATATTCACTATTGGCACCATATTGCAACGTTAAAACTATTCTAGCTGACTGCACAATTATTCCGACACAAATTGAAGCTGCGGACAAAGTTATTGAAGATGTGATTGGTACAAAAGAAAAAAATCAAAATCCGGTAAATAAGCATATATATGTGAATAATAAATTTTACTCATTCTTTGCAGAGGTGGTCGAAAATAACTTAGGAATAAATATTGATGAATAAAAATAAAAAACGAAATAATGTTTTTCTATTTTTATTAACCATCAGTGATTTGATGACATAGAACATTTGCGTCGAATGAATTCAGTCAATTAATTCAACAGGACTTAAGGCGATCTGAACAACAGAACAGATTCAACCTAAGACGATACGATGAAAGTATCTAAATTATCGCTTATATAAAAACTGGTAATACACGGTATCTTTTTCTGGCCAGGGGTCATTTCGCTTACAAACAATCAACTGAAATAAATAAATATACAACTATTTACAAAACTCCCCAGAGTTGTGCCCACAAATAACGGGTGGAAAGACAGCAAAACCAACATAGTGAGCTAATGGGTCGCTAGAGTGGTTTTTCCGCCCGGAATGTTCAGGTGACACACAACTCGAAGAGAGGAATTTTGCAGGAAAATTTTTCTAGAAAGGTCGACTGAAGTGTTGATGATCTATGAGCGATTTTTGTGGCGAGATGGAACAAAATTAAACGATAACTTTCTTTATTTCGTCGTACATAACTAGTACTATAGCTCCACCAGTTCCACGAAGAATGTTGGAGAATGCTCCCTTGAAGAAGGCTCCGGCACCCTCAGTCTTAGCGATGGTCGCCCAGCAATGAGCTGTGCTTTTGTAGACAACTTCGGCCTTCTTACGTCCTGACTGCATCATCATACGCCTACGCACGGTATCGAATGGATAAGAAATAATACCGGCAACAGTTGTGACAGTCTGAAAAAAAATAGGATATGAGAATAATTCTTCCGTTTTAATTCTAATTGCTGCGTTTTTTTACACCATGTAAGTATATGTGAATAATGTGAGGACGAATCAAAACTCTACGAAAACACAGAAAATGGTGAAATGACATTTTGTACTTGAACTTCTCCAAAGTATTGTTCGTTATTGAAAATGTAAATGCATGTGTGAAAATATCATTGGCAAAAGCAATGCTTTGATATTTGATATACAGATATTTGGAGATGAAATATTTGTCAGGGTTAATAATGTGGGAATTGTGAGAGGTAGAGGATCTGCTCTTTGTCTACAAGAGGCCTTCATTAAAATTCTTCTCTAATGAAGTTGGAGGAATTTGTTCAACCTTTGGTATTTTTTTGAGATGAAATATTCCTTTTTCCAGTATTTTTAACTTCTTATCTCTAGTAACTAATATTAGGTTAACTAATTGCTAATGCAAACTATCAAGACCAGGTATGATCCGAATAAGTGATGGTGTTTTGCAAATAATACAGTGTAAACTAAAAGGTTGATTGTATGTCAAAACTGTGAGGAACGTAAAAAAAAAATTTTACCTGTGCAATAGCCCAGGAAATGATGATTGGCGTATTCTTAGGATCGGGAAGGATTCCTTTAGCTGTATCATAGAAACCAAAGAAGGCGGCACGGTAAATAATGATACCTTGAACAGATACACCAAAACCACGGTACAACCCACCAAGACCATCAGATTTGAAGATTTTCACAAGGCAGTTACCCAACCCGGAGAATTCACGCTCTCCTGCTCCTTTTCCTACATCGGCGGCTAACCTGGAAATAATGGGAAAATAAAGATAATAAATTTACACCAAAGAAGTAAATTTTGTTTATACTAAAAGTTGTTTTTGCTATTTTTATATGCATAGATACGTATTACTCAGTATGTTCATCAAGCTGATATTACTCTTCTTTAAAAAAGCCAAAACACTATTTCTCAAATGAATATTAGATAAAGCTATCAGAGGTTAAACTAAACTGACATCGACATGCTTATTAAAATATAGTTTGCACAATTCGAGAAATATATTGTATTGTCTTGCTCTCATTAGATTCATGCATCAGTATAGAATGAATCCGAGACGGACATAATTCTGTAAACGATTGTTTACTAAAGGTAACTTCGATATTTCGGAAGTCGACCCTGATGTTAGGATTTTTGGGATTGATAACTAAATTATATTTCAAGACGAATTCATTTGTCGCACAAATCCTGGCTTCTAGCCATTCCCAAAAGTTTGAATTCCGCCAAAATTCTGTTGTGAAATCTGTTTTGGAGATTTCTAATAAAAGCCTATGAAATTTCGGAAATATTAAAACTATACGCCTTTACATTTCCCAAAAAATAAAAAAGATAAAATCAATGTCATTTGTTCGTTCTATGATAAAATGGTCATTCATCAGGAAGTTACACCGTTTCGAAGGAAAATCGAAGTAAAAGAAATGACTGTGGCGTTACTACGATTGAGACTTGCCACATTCCAAAATGTATCTAATTTTTGTAAAACAGAAAGAAGTACATGAACGGATATACAACATAACTATTCAATTAGTTAGATAGGCTATTTAATTAGTACTTGTCACATATATATCTTTTGAAAAATGTGAAAATCGTAATAGGGAACTTCATACATTTGTAGAAAGGACAAATGTATTAGTTCATTCCGATAAAGTTACTGCGTAAATTCGAAGTATTTTTCACGAAGAAAAATGTTCTATTTATCAGTAACTTCATCACAATTTTTATATTTTTCAGATCGTCAAAGGTAAAAATACCCAAAGAAGGACGATATAAAGGCTTATTCGTTTCGTAATATGAAATGCTCCCTAATTTCGGAAGGTGACAATGTCGCACACACAGTTAGAACAACAAGCATACATGAATAAGAATAGGAAGAAGAAAAATGAATTATGCAAAATGAATACGGTGTGTTCATATCAAATTTTAGTGACGTCACGGCCATCGTTTTTACTCGATTCTGAAAGGACAAAAAAACGAGGTACTTTACGTGATATGATTATCCCAATATCAGTGTACAGGGTACATGGAATAGTAAAAGAGGTAAACTTTTGAAAACCAGTGCTTTTCATTATAATTGCATTAGATACATTTCCTGAATATAGGCAAACAACGCTACGCTGATGAAATTACTATAATTTTTACATTAGGTGTGAATGGGGAACGGTTATGATGATACTCCATTCACTGGATTAACTCATAAAAATCTCCGTAAATTAGACCGAAAACTTTTCGAGAAAACTCGGTGAACTGAGTTCTCAGATAATATATAATACCAAATGCACCTTTATATGAATATGCAGATAAAGTGAACCTGAAACTTCATTTCTCGTGACTGATATAACCCGATCACTAAATGGGTATTATACTGTGGGATTTTATGCACTGATGCCGAATAAAATTAACGCCAATACGTGAGGATAATCATCGGGTAATAGTTACCACGCTATATTTTGTAGTTAGCTAGAAATCTCTTCCCAATGATGTAGTTGTTCCAGTTTTATTTCTGTGGTAGTTTTGATGAACTAACTCGAGCAGAACATAACCTATATCAACCTTTTGTTGTATTGATGTAACTTTCACTTGCTTATGCTGGACTTCATGAAATTGCAAACTTGGACAGGTTAGATAGTGATTGAACATAAAAAAATGCTCGAAATCAATTTGATATTTCGATGGAAAAATCAAACCCTTTCATTATGGTTTGTAGAATGGAATTTCCATAAACATATCTCTAGCTGTGAATAACCAATGACTCAGCGTCGAGTATTTATGAGAATTTAACTTGTTTATTTCACATCCCCAGACACAAGTTTCATGATAATGAAACAGATAGAAATGTTTTTGCAGGTATAGTGAATTAAGAGCTTAATTTTTCGTTGACGAAGTCAGAACTATTTTTGATTGTGAAAGTAACTTGCCACGCAACAGTGTTGACCCTGAGATAACTCTTACACTTCTAGTGATAACGCAGATTGATGATGAATGCCAGACATATTGTGCAAAAACAATAATTATGTATTATCAAAAAGTTTGTAACTAGGAAAAGTCAGCAATGTCTAACGCACATTTATCGACGGATTTAATATTTCTATCCATTTGAAACATATTTGGTAGTAACATAAAAAAACAAGTGATATAAAATCATTAGTATATGCGCAACATAAATTAGCTATTCAATTTTCTAATATAGTTCATTTTGTAATTCAACAAAATTTGACTCAACATGAGCTCAACTTTTTGAAAACAGATATTACTGGAAGTACGTCGGCGTTGCCAAAGTGTTAACGAGATAAATATGCTCTGATGAGTATTTATAGAATGGGTATCCTTTAAGCTAGTAGAGGTACTGTAATTTCAGATTATTTCTAATTATAGTTTTTCCACTATCGATTGATGCAGATGCAGTGTATAATAAATTATACCCATTCTTTTATGGAATTGGCCGCGGTTGTAGTGCGCCCGACTCACGATAGGAAGATCGTGGGTTCGATACCCGCCACGACCATTTTTCTCGAGAGAATTTATCTGGTTGAAGCGGGGATGATTCTGCAAACGTGTTAGGAATCACACGTTAAAAGGTAAGACCTCGTTAGTCCTTAGCTCGCACAAGTTTCTCAACTTCTGAGAGTTGTTCGTATGGGGGCGACAGCTGATTAACGTAAATTCCCGTAAATTATGTAAAAAACGAAATCTATTAAAACGGAGAGGTTTCTCCGCCGAGACAGAAATGACAGAAATGTCTAATGTTGCTATTTCTTGCTATATTCATGCTTTGCGTAACGGTAAAGAGTCTCTCAAAAACAAAAACCAATCCCGAGGCTGGACAGAAGTGCTCACCTCAATCTAAGGCGGTGGCTGGGATTGAACAGAAATGTCCACCCCAATCTACCGCTTGGAATGAGGCTGGACGTAGCCAGATCACCTCGTGATGTAATACAAACGCCAATGCGTAAGCGCATTTGCAGCGTCGAGGCTAAAAGAAGAGGGCAAAATAGGCTGGAGTGGTAGCAACTATAAGTGCCCCCTCCTCCTCCCCCACTCCACCTCCAACAGCAAGGGCACTTCCTGCGGCGGGCGCCAAGAGCTCCGCCTTGAATAAAGGCAAGGAACTGGCTGCTCCTGCAGGAAAGCTCCCTCAGTTGTGCAACTCCACGGATGGAACCCCAAGAAGGTTGAAGAAGCCGCGCAACGACAGTAATGTCGCTGCACCTTCCAAAACCTTCGCGAAGGCCACCGTGAGACACCTTAAGGTTCGGCGAGTCTGCCAATATAACGGAGATGTCTCCTTTATATTGACCTGTCCACCTTCCTGGAAAGGACAGGATGGACGATGATCTAAGAGGACAACTCCTCGGGAGGATGTACAATGGGTCACATGTGGCCTAAGTGCAGTGGGTCTACACTCACCCTCCCTACTCTACATATACAGAGAACGGTAAAGAGTCTCTCATAGGACGATGAGAAATATAATTTTATTTTTATAGGGTAGAAGTATTTCTTAGGCTGGAAAAGTACTCTCGGAGATATATCATGAAACAAAAAATTGTTATTGTCTGATTCCAAGAATTGACTGTATTTGAAGTTATGAATATGATTTGACAAAAGAAAAGTGGTTCCTTGCGGTTCAAAAAAAGAAAAATAGTTTTGGAAAAAAACTTAGGTATGTAGTTATTTATAGGAAAAAATGTCTGAGTGGTTCCAAGAATTGACTGTGTTTGAAGTTATGAATATGATTTGACAAAAGAAAAGTGGTTCCTTGCGGTTCAAAAAAAGAAAAATAGTTTTGGAAAAAACTTAAGTTATGTAGTTATTTATAGGAAAAAATGTCTGAGTGGATTCAACTGTTGGCTACCCAATAGACTACTTGAGTTATCGAGAAGAATTTAACTATTATCACTTCCAATATATTCAATCTTCTTTCAGCTTCAAATTTCCAGGCAATGTTGAAATTGAAAATTTATGCATTATCACTGGTCTAAAAGTGATAGGATATTGACATTAACGACACTACTTGTTGTCAGAAGTTTTTGATGTGAAAGTCAACAATATTTAGGTCAATATATTTCGACCTTCGCATAAAATCCGATAAAGGATTCCGTTTTAAATCTAGAAGATTCTATTTACCGTCAAAATATTAGATTTTCCAACATATTCCTCATGTCCATATTTTCTATTTCGACGGTCATCTTTCGTCACTTCGTTGACTTTCTTCACCATTTCAGACATGTCTCCTTCAGACTTGAGCTTTAGAACCTTTTTAGAATACAGGTACTTCTGGGTTGGTTTTTATTTCTCTCATAAGTTCTAATGCTCCGTGTCATATAATGATCCTGTGTAGTTTTATTTGAAACAGACCTTGTCCTTGATCCAAGGGCGATACTCGTGTACCAACGAGTAATCACGCAATACTTCCTAAAGGCCATCAGCCAGTAGCCAATAATGTTATGTCATTCATTGTCTTTTGGCAGCGGCCCAAACTCATTGTGTCAGAGTCGTTTGCATCCAAAAAATTTCAAAAGAAAAAATCACACCTTGGTACACGTGATGATCAAAGTATCAAGGTTAAAGGAGCAAGTTGTTTATTTTTTCTGGACTCGTCTTTAGTCGTTTGTGATTTTATTACTTTTATATAATCATCACTTCCTTATAATTCTATTCTATTCAACTGCTAACAAGTGTTAGCAGACACTTAAAAATAAGCAGGAGTAGATAACGTAAATAAACCCCATTTTAATGGATTCAGTTTTGACGTGTTTCTAAAACCCGAAAAATGTGTAATTTTTACTGTGAGGTGTCCCAGATTCTATGCAAGGTTTGATTTAAATATATCAGTTTTGGTATTTTATTCATGTTTTTTAGGGCTATTTTGTCTGAATTTTCCATGAACATTTTGCTTAAATGTGGTTGAATTTCGATGATGCATCGTTGAATTTCCTTTTTTAATGCACTAATGTATGAGGGCTTTTTGAGATACACCTTTGGCTTCAAATCACCTCATTAACAGAAATATAAAGGTATTAAATCACCCGATCTGAAAGGGGTCAATTCTGATCACGGAAATGAGAGAGTACACGACCTGGTCTCTTGTTGAGACCACGTAGTGGCTACATCGATATCATCCAATTTCAGCACAAATAACATGTCGCAATATCGAGTACCGTCCATTGCTCGACTAACCTTATACTCAAAAAAATATGGAAACAGTGACACATTGTGAATGAATGTTTTTCTCCTTTCGAATGTGGGTTCTCCCAACCTCAAATGCAACAATTTTGCCGATTAACAAAGCCATGAAGATGAAAATGTGCTTTTCATCACTAAAGATAATTTTGCTCGTAAAATCAGCATCCGCTTGATGTTCAACAATCTTTAACAAACTTTCTTCGCTGTGTCATTAGTCTTCAATTGTTGTGTTGACTGATCTTCAGTGCGTATTCGCTCTACAGAGCTCCTTGAAATTAGCAACTCTTGTCCACGACGCCAAACTGATGTTCCTGGATTTTCAGCAACACTATCTTACATTACTTCGATATTGCCATCTGAACGGCCATCAAACTGCGACCGCAGTTTGCAAATATGCTCCATTTTTACTAACATTAAACTGGCAAATTGTTTTTTAGGGTTGCCAGTACTTTACTGCACAAATGGCGGCAAATTCAAATCTTGCTTTTAATTCCGGGACACCTTTATATTGTTGTTTCAGTGCTGAAGATTCCATTCACTTAATGTGTTCATGTTACGTACCTAGTTCTGGCGAAGTCAAGGGGGTATACAAAGCAGAGAGATGTGGCACCAGCGGCACCTCCGGAGGCCAAGTTTCCTAAGAAGTAGCGCCAGAATTGCGTTTTTTTGTCGACTCCGCTCAAGAAGATCTGCTTGTATTTGTCTTTGAAGGCGAAGTTGAGGGCCTGGGTGGGGAAGTAACGGATGACGTTAGCGGTGTTACCACGCCAGTAAGCTAGTACTCCTTGTTCTTTGGGGATACGGACGAAACAATCTACCATACCTGAAAAAAAACATTTTAACAGTTAGACGAAAAAAAATTACTGTGGTTGTTATTTGGTTGAGCCGTGTATTAGTTGAAACTACAGAGATATAAAAAAAATTGTATTGCCCAAATTTAGACTATTTCATTCATTTACTAATGAATTATGCTGTTTGAGATTAACCGCTGCTGAGAGCTCGTGTATTTTTTCAAATATCCCCGTGTTAAGCCACTCAAACTTCTCTGTCTAACGTCATGCAAAGCCTTCTTAAGGTCGGTTCTAAGGATATACTCGAGAGCCACGTCTTTAAATAGACTGAAAAGTCGCGTCCTCGGATCACATGGTAAATTGGATAAATCAGAAATCTTATATTAGTATGAAGAATGTACATTATTGATATCTCAAAAAGACTTATAAAGTTGTTTACAGTTGTTTAAAAGTTGCCTATTTGGAATCTACTTACTTGGCATTTATTTCAGGTCGCCTCTGAGAGCTCTACTGCCTCTATTTCAAATAGTATGAGAATAAGACACATGAACTTTTTGTGCTGTTTTATGATTGTTATGATTTGGTATGAACCAATTTTAAATGATAACGTTTGTGACATTAGATTCCATTATTAAGGTTTTCTTGCATACAGTTTTTTATCAATTTTAGTTGCCACTATCATATATAACACATGTATTTCTCAACGTTTCTATTCGGTAACATCATCAAAAACTTAAAAGACAAATATTCTTCGTATGTAGAACTCGACATATATTTGCAGAATTTGCCGGTAGATGAGAATGCCTATACATTCCTACGAGTTTTTGTAACAGCATGTACTCTTTGAAAATAAATTTTCAATAGAGCATGAATGCCCCCTTCTGTTCGGCAAATTAAAATCTTGTGGAAAAAGTTAAAACAAGCTATACATTTCTTCTTTTTATTATTGTGATGCTATTTTTTCGATATCAATTGCCTCACTGTGATAACAATTTAAATTTTTTACTAGTATCGAAAGAAATTGTTCAGTATTTCAAATATTCATTATTTAAATATTACACAAAAGGGCTTGTATCGTACATACCTTTTGCCAAAACTGTAATTAAAAAACTGAAATTCGAAGTATTTAAACACCCCTACAGAAACATATTGATGTGAAGAAGTGAATTTCCATTTTGAGTTCATTTTTAAATCATATTTGCGCCGTAACATGTTGACTTGAGAATCAATGAAAACTTTATGATTGATTTTTAATTGCAATGTTGTTTGGGGAATGATATATACGTTTATTAGGGTTAAGTGAAAGAACAACTCTCATGAAGCCTAATCACGAGATCGAACTTCGCTCTTTGTTCTCAATATAAATAAGCTCAATATCTTTTTTTTTATAATATCACCATTAATAAATAACTCCTTGAATGAGTTAAAACCCCCTTTAAAGTCTGTAAGCATACGATTTGGTTTGGTAGTTTGGCAACGCCGCTCTCATTTTCCAACTACCCATGTTTGACATATGACAAATCTCTCCTAAAAAATATATTTCTTTGAATGTTAATTGTTTTATTGCCTCATTCTGTTTTCAAAAACGTTAGAAACAGTACCATATATACATTTTTTCTACTCTTTTCATAGTATTGGAAAATAGTATTATTTTGATAATTTTATCATTTTTGAGGTTTAATAAGAATATCCGAAAAAGCATCTATAACTAGTGGAAAAATACTTTGGATGTACATTTTTTCATTGTCTTTCCCAAAATCAAAATTGTGGACGATACAAAATATATTTGCCCGATTTTTCGATTTTTATTACCAAAATATCAAGGTTCTCAAAATGGAAAAACTCTACAAGGTATCTCCAAGCAGAAATCTCTGATTTTGTATTACTCAAACGCAAATCAAAACTATCTGTTCTCTTGAAGAACATATTCCAGAAATAGTTATCACCTTCAGGCGTGGAGTTAGCTTTTATCATAACTATGTCACATAAAACCAACTCTACAAGGTATATTTTGTTGATAAACATAGTTTAAGTTGGCAATTCGGCCATTTTGTCTTTTGTAAGAAAAGTTAAGTTGGTACAATAGAGTAAAAAGGAAAGTTGAAAGTCTTTAAGCAGAAATCTCTGATTTTGCATTACTCAAACGTAATCAAAACTATCTGTTCTCTTGAAGCACATATTCCAAAAAAATACCTGAAAGTGACATTATCAGAAATTATCATCGTGGCCTACATATTCAATGAATACAAGCCAAGTATCCGAGTTAAGTAGGACACCACCATTCACTAATATTTCGTAATATTTAACAGCACAATAGACAGAAATAGACACACCGAAAATGATTCGTAATAATATTTGGAGTGTTTCTAAACAAACGCGGTAACAATTATTTAGACTCAGGTAAAAAATGGTTCCCGTATAATCAGTTCATTGAAGATGGTTCATGTCATTACGCGATCATTAAAAAACAATGAAAAAAAGATTTACTAGTCCCAACAGATGCCAAGTCTCTCATTTTCAGTTTAAAGTAGGGGTTTTTTTTGAGATTCACTGAATTGAATGAGAACTATGAAACTGCTGTTTGCACTTTTAAATTTATATTCTTAAAAAATGCTTCTTATGCGTTTATATTACGGCGAACGCGCAAGGTTGACACGTGATACATGTTGATACAAGTGATCGTGAGTTCCTTCACCAATATGAGTAAAATTGAACGGTCTAGTCTTCAGGTTAATTTATACAACATTATTATTTCTTGTACGAATTATCATTACTACTAATGTTTAGCTACCTTTGCGATCATATTATTCAGACGTATTTTTGAAAGTTCTTAATTATTGAAATGTCACCAAGAATCATAATTATTTTTTTCCATTAATAATATATCACTGTCATACTGCGTTTCAATAATTATTTTAGTGATATCTTCAATTAAATTAGACAACTTCTATAATATTTTAAATAGTTTTGCTTTCCAAACGATATTTTTGGCAATGAATAGGTATTTTCTGATGGAAAAGTTAAACGATTGTTTTCAAAAAAGGGTGCCAAATATTTATTATTGTCATCAAATACTTTTGATGTAATGTTCTGCTTCAAACATAAGTTTTAGATTTCGAATCTATTATACTTGGCCACCTGGTACATGGCGAGAATTGTCTGTATTAGCCACTTTTTTTTTCATTTTTTTGTATTTGTTTCATTTTTGTTGCCAGTTCTTGTAGCTGGCTGTGGAGGTTAAGTGGTAGAACAAACCTGTAGTTTTGAACTTCGCCTTTTGGATGTTATATTATATTTCACCCAATAAAGACCAATATTATTATTATTATTATAATGGAAAAAACATTAGTTTGTTTCAAAAGTTTTGGCATTCTACTATGTCGTGATATATATTGATCGATAGAAAATTTTGTACATACTCTATTAAGGTGCGTATTTACCAAAAAAGCGAGCACGAGCGAACAAGAGTGAACGAGCATTCTGCATCAATAATCGTCTGGTGATTACGGGCTAGCGAGCGAGCGAACGTATGCTTGTTCGCGTTCAGAAAAGATGAAGGCGGTACATCAAAAGGTGCTCGTACAAAGTAGATGGATCAACTACGACTACGAACTTGAAGATATTCGCTCTGGTGTGGACGATACATCAATATGTCGAGCAAATACGAGCGAACACGAGCAAACATACACGAATGCTCGCTCGTGCTCGCTTTTTTGGTGAATACGAATCTTTACATTGATGCTGTTCATTGTTTCCAAATTTCAATTTTTTGCCCATTTTCAGGTTACTATAGGCGTTTTCTGGCGCTCATGTATTCAAAACGTATTCGTCTGTGATTCAAATACATTCGCTCTGGCATTGAAACGATGACATCACATCAACTATGATTTGAAACATATTCATCATGATTCAAAACTAGCGTGAGGTTGGTTTTGAAACGGTATTTGACAGTTTGCCAGTTTCTGCTTTATTTTGATCGTTATAGTTGATAAAGTGCTGAAAACTTTTCATCAAATAGGTAAAGCTGGAATATTATAACCTGCACAAAAGACCACTGTTATTGTTTGGCGGTCAGCAGATGGTGTAATTTCCTATAACTTTCTGCAACCGTCCCAAACCACATCACGGTTCTTGAATATGACCACTTGGTGATCCAAACACATCGACGAAATGTACTGAAAATTTAGTCACCAGCAGCCGACACTGATCAACAGAAGATGCCTGATCATGCTCCACGACAACGCCCGTTCTCACGTTTCACAAATCACCGTCCGAAAATTAAACCAACCTCCCCAGATCTCCCGCCAAACGACCACATCTTTTCAAGCACTTCGTTAACTTACTCGTTAAATAAGTATTCACTCAGAGAATACAGTTTGAAGCAGACATAAAAACGAACAACTTTTCAAACAACCTAATAGATACAACTTAAAATTAATTTATGACCTTCCCATTCAGCTCGTTTGATACGGTTCAAGGTTAAAGAAAAATTCGCTTCATCAGTAAAGATAACCCATAAACCAGCATGGTGACCTTTCATTTTGAAATTACTATCAAGTACATAGTTACTAAGTTGTAAACTCGATTGTAAAATATATAAAACAAAATTTCATATCAGTTATGAATAACAGTTGCTCCCTTTTGGTAATTTATTTCCATTTTAAGTTCCTGTGAATTATATATGTTGCTATTTCATAACGAATGTTTGAAATACGAGGAAAAAGTGATGTTATCCAATGTTCATATGTTTAAAAGTACCTCATTGTTTCGAATGGGATTTTTCTTCTTCTTCTACACATATTTGTGTAAGCCACCACATTCTTTGTACAAAGATGGAGCTGTGATTAAATCCAACACATCTTAATTTCACGGCGGGAACAAAATCCGGCCTGGTACTGCGACAGACACCATCAGTGGTATATTGCCAGGGAATTATGAGAAATAGGTTGAATATAGATAATTAGTTGCATTTAATGTGGCATTACATGACCTGGAAAATGTGGAGTTCCCAAAATTGACGCAGCTTATTGCAAGGGAAAACCTCGGTCGTATGGAAAATATGTTTGTTATGGCTACCCTGCAAGATTCTCCCGATAAAAAATCTCATCTTGGTTTCCTACACATACATTTTTTTGTTAGCCGTTCATTCAAAGAATACTCAAATTAGTGAATAGGTATTTTGTTTATCAACGATTCAGGCTATCTCCAGAATAATTCAAGACGTATGTGTTGTTATAAACACATATTTGAAGCAAAATCTGGAACCGGAACTTTCAAGCTGTGATATTCTGATATTTCATTATATTCAGACCTAGGAATTCCTTTAGAGGGTTGTAATATGAATTATTTTCTTCATTGTTAACTTGACACCTATAGTTGTCAATATGATCTTGTTAATATTTGTTTTTTGGTTGTTGTAATTTAGTTTCAAATATTTGTGAATTTTCAGTTTAGCAAATCCCTTGTACACTATTTCTCCAAAAAGTATTTCTCTACTAGATTCCAGCAGGGGCTCCATAAGAACTCCAATAATAACTCATTGATTGGTGAAGACGTATTGGTCGTTACATTGAGCATGCCAAATTTGTTTAGTATCAATTTCCAGTCATTTCAAAACAGGTAATGAATTTTAGCAGATGCTAGTGAATAGTCACCGAAAACCTCTTTACAGTTCTTTCAGTAATTGAAAATATCCAACAAGGTATAGTTTTTCTACTTGATTCATATTAAATTACCCCCCCATTGGTAAATCGTTGGAGGTCTGTTTTGAATCTCATTTGACTGGATCCAATTCAGATTTCTAATGGAACAAATCACAATTTGACAGATATATGACATATGACAAAATTGTTCAGTCATCATCTCTCAATTACCAACAAGTATAACAAATGAGCTAAATGATATTTTCATTTCCTTGGATTCAAAATTGTCTTTCTAACTTCATTTTTGATTTAGTATTTTTCTTCTTCTTCTTTAACGTTCATAATAATAATATTTGCCAAACATATGAAATTCAAAAGCAAGTTGAAACTTCTTTATTATTGTTTTTATAAAATTAATATATACCTACTTATATGATAACTTCCAACTGGCTGATATGTTAACTCTCAATGTTCAGTCTATTTGAACTTGACTTTGTTTTAAAACCTATTTTTCCTTGCATTGTCTTCATTTCCACTTTATCTGACCTGTTTTTTAACGTTATGATACTTTATTTGAACATAATGGAAAAAAATAACGGGTTTTCAGTCAAACGGAGCCTCATAAAAACAAACCCAAGTTTAAAGCTTCTTCAGAACAATGATGTTATATCTCCGAGCATATCCGACATTATTATTGTCCTGTAATACCTGTAATGATATGAGTGACATGAAAAGTACAAAAGATCGATTATTTATACTGTGATTTTATTTAATATAACTGTTACCTAAATGTTCAATATCCGTTTTTTGTTCACACAATTTGGGTTGCTACCATTTCGAAGAAAACCCTTTTGGACATGTTTCTTTCTGAATGTAAAACTCATATAATGGAAGAAAGGATCACAAAACTATTTTTCACAAAAAATAACGATGCTATATCAACAATTGTTATTTAAATGCCAGCAAGAGGGAAAAAGCCATCATAGCAGATTTCTTTTTATTGTGAATGATTCACTTGTTTAAAGACATGATATTATTCAAAAACATTCAAACATAAAGTATCCAATAAGTCTAAAATTTCAAGAGATAAACTGTAGTGGGCATCGGTGGTGCGGGTACCTGAAATCTCTGATTCTGAAAGAAATCGAACCGAGCAGATGCCATTTGAGGGACCAGACAAAAGGGCAGGTAGCATTTTTTGTATCTTTAGGTTCTTTCATAAGAGGGTACAGGGTATGGACAACAATAAAATGCAATGAGGGACAAGAAGAAATTGACCAGGAAAACATTGAAGTAAATGGCCATACTCTCGATCATACTTTTGAAAGGATGTTCTGGATAGATATGCCACGAAAAGAAACCCACACTGATAATCCTGGATGCTGAGCTTTAGCTTTCTCAAAAGATAATTTTCATAATGTTTGAAAGGAAATTGAACCGATTTTCAGGAATAAAAAAAGGACACAATTAGTATATATTTTTATCCCGAGTTTCAAGGTTGGTAGTTGACACTCATCAACCTTGTTATTATCACGTTCAAAGTTCTTATGTAACGACCTATAGTGATATCCAGCAATGTCGCCTACATTCGTTAATAATGGTCAGATAAGAAAGAGAAGCTTATCAATATTTGCCTCAAATAACTGAATAAAACATATTTAGGTACATAGAAATCAACTTAGTATGCTCATTTTATGTAACACCGACATTCACGTGTCATTATGCGACCGTTCTTGGCACAGTTTCCATTCGTCTATTGATCGTGAATTTCAGGTTGACAGATGGCTGCCATACTTATGAAACAAAAAGAGTCGAAAATGTGGCTATTAACTATTCAACGCTGCCAGGTCTTACTAGATCGGACCGTAGTCCACGCACTCTTTGATAAAATTGATACTGGAAATAATGGGTTTGAACAAAGGATTACCTGACAAGCTGATGTGAATTTGGCCTTGAATTTGAATAGATGTACCACTCGGCACAAGTACGTCGTAAAATCAAATAATAACGTAGACGTTAATGAATTATGATAAGATAACATATTTCTTCATCGACACTAATCATGTGATTGTCGTATGTATATTGCAACGTAAGGAATTCTAAAAAATGGACTGAATTGATTCGCGCACACTCAAGTAGGCGCATAAGGGAATCGTTATGTAACAGGAATTTCGCAGAATACGGAAAACTAGCAAAGTTTCGGATATTTCTATGGCAGGAAATAAAGTCTAGTATGCTTTGGAAAACAAAAAATCGTTCTTACCCTTATACCGCTTGTCTTCTGCGATTTGCTTGGAGATGTGTTGGACCTGCAGAAGCAGTTTCACACGTTCGATTGGGGCCACGCATGTTTTCGAGATGGCTGCAGAGACTCCTCCGGCGAGGAAATCTTTCATAAAAGCAACGGGATCGGCCAGAGACATTTTTGTGTAGGGTATGTAGAGTACTTGACTTAAAGGTGTGAACGGACCGCGCACAAAACTGCAAGTGAACGAAGATCGGCAAGGAACGAACGAACTACCGACCGATGAAACGCTGGGCGTTGGTGACGAAAGAGCGCGAGTCGGTCATGTGCTCTCCCAGGCGCTCTAGCTGAGAATAGCGATTGTGGCAGTGGCGGCAGATTCGGGGGTTCCTAGAGGCATCTTGATTTTCACAGAAAGAGGTGAACAGGTTTTTCACAAACAACGGACGGAATATAACTGAAGGAAGTTTTCAGAAGGTAAAGGTAGAATCTGTTTGAAATCTGTTTTTCCAGTAACCAGATGTCACCCCCCTACAAACGACAAGTTTCATTGAACTAGTTTGCAAAATAGTTCGAATGCTACAGTAAAATAGATGCTACAGTAAATAATAACAAATCGTGATTGAAGTTAATTTACGATGAAGTTATTGAACTTGGATGAATGACTGTCCCACTTATTTATTCATTGAAAACAAAGTCATTGACGTGATAATCTCTTCTATTATAGTTATATAAATCCATGAATAAGTCCATGAATCTTCTTGCCATCCAGGTGTTGATATATACAGTACTTGTTACGAATCACACGTTAAAAGGTAAGACCTCGTTAATCCTCAGCTCGCACAAGTTTAGACATCTGAAGGTTTTCGTTCGTAGGGGTGTGACAGCTGGTTAACGGAAAAACAGATTTTGAACAGATTTTTTAAAACTTGTTTACAACGGTTTTTCACTTTTATACATTGTTTTTTAAATTCCAAATAGATATTCTGGAGCCAAAATAGCAGAAAACTAGTTGTTGTGTGAGAAAAAAGGTTTTGAACAACACTTTTTCGAAACAATATTGGGTACTGAAGTTTTTTGAACTGAATTTATTTGACAAATCTGTATTCACAATACAATTCAAAATATTCTAACGAATCGGAAAGTTCATCGTCCAGATACAAGACATCTACCGGACTTATTGGTAAATCAAACATGAAGTCCTCTCAGCTGTTTTTATATGTTGTCGTGGTTTCGTTTGCTTCTTGTGAGTGAAGGTAATTTATTTTACTCATTACTTAGTTTCTCATGTCTATAACACACAAATTCACAATTAAATAATTCAAAACACAGAAAACTCTAAATCAATATAAAAATCTATGTTCAACTTTCAGTTATTCCGATAAGCTGTTTGGGTAGCGCCATCATCGGCAAAAATTTCCTCTATTACTCTTTTAAAAATCATTTTTCATTTATCTTATGTAATCATATTATGTAGAACACATATCCTTTGTAAAAATTGTATCACGCTTCCACTGCGTTCTACGTCACGGAAAGAATCACATAATGAGGACTAGAAGCAGCCTCTGACGTAATTATTACGGAGCCAATAGGGAAAAAGTTGTTTACGTGGAATATTGTATACAGGGAATTACTTCTTTCTGATTATTGCTTCCAAAAGGGATAAGGGATGAGTAATTCTGTCATTTTGTGAACGACGGGGCAAGAGTCAACAATCATATCACTCAATGGTCATTTATATTGAGGAATTCTTTGTTTTATCTTTGAAAAACTATTCATCCAACCTACTGGACAATTTGAAGTGATACTGCTTGCAGAAGGCTTATAAAATTCATATTGGGCAGAATCGACCAAATCAGGATCTTACCAGCCAGTCTAAAACCGAAAAGATTCTTTTGAATTTAATGTGGGTTTAACATTATCAATGGATGTTGCGTAACGAATAATTTATATATGACGTCAGGATATAAGGAATACATTTTCATCTGATTCAGATTATGCTTTGATAAAATCTATGAAAAGTTACTTTAATGAATGTATTGATTTTTGCAATTCATACATTTATTTATTTTCTTGTACAGTGGTCTCCCTTTAAAGAATGTGGAATACATCTGAAAGTTAGTGGCGAACATCTGGACATAGGCGTAACCAAAAATAATTATCTACAATGAAAAATGATTTATTGAAAAAGTAAGAAAAATGAACAGTGGGGAATATTTGTGAAATGCATCCCAGATCCACTTTGGCTATGCTCTTGTGAGATGCCTTGTGTTGATTCTATATACCTAAATAACGATGATTTTCGAAAAAAAAGTTACAAAAATAAATGTGTATTACTCTAACTTATCTCTTTAACATCTTATTCTGACCCCCTCCCATGAATTCCAAACTTAACTTTTATGAATTATTACTTTTTTCTAAAATTTTCGCGAATTGGATTTCTTTAGGTTAAAACATCAAATAGTGGAAGAGTTGGGATTTCAGAGGATATATATTTTAGATTGTAGTAAGAGTAGTAAAAAATGCCAAAGAATCATCAGTAGAAAAACGAATAAATGTTTTCTAATATCGATATTTATCAAAAGACTAGTTAGACTCGGGTCTTCCAAAATGACAATCACAGCTTCTACTTCATGGAGTTGAGAGCTTTTGACAAAACTAAAGCGAAAAATGTGTAGCTGCTATTTCTGACCGCTCTAATAGTGAACGTGTCAATATTTATGCGTATGAATTGTTTTATTATTTTTGATATAAAGTTCGATGTTAATTATTCATTTTTACGTAATTTCGAATGTACTTTAATTATTCTCGGGAAATGAAAATTTTCAAATGTATGGTTATCCTAAGAAGTGGCAGAAGCAGAAATAGAAGTCAAAATTTGCACCAGAACTGATTACCAGTACAAGATTAGTGGTTTTTCCAGGCATTTAACTAAATAATTATTTTTCACCTTATAGAAAATATATTCTTGTAATTCGGTGTCAGCAAGAATGATCAATGGATGTTTTCGTATCCACCAATATTTGGGTTTTTGTGGATTATGCAGGAAATACTTTCTCTCTCAACTAAAACAAGATCTGTTTATGTTTAAAATCTGTTTTTTCGTTAACCCGCTGTCGCACCTCTACGAACGACAACCCTCAGAAGTTGGAACTTGTGCGAGCTAAGCATTAACGAGGCCTTACCTTTTAACGTGTGATTCCCAACACCAAACACTGCAAGATATTATGAAATAATTAAATAGAACTGACCATATTAAAACTGATCAATACATTTTTTTCTTATCCGAGTAATTAATACAGTATATTGTATTATTTTCACTTGAGGAAGCTATTGTATAGCGAAACACGTGTCGCGGTTTTTGTAAGACTCTTTGTAGTGAAAATAAAATAATCTGTATTAATTAGTTTTTTTTTATATTATGAAATAGTGGGAGTGATATCGAACAACATTTTTTTTGTAACTAAACACCATTCATCAACTACTTTGAGCCCCTGTGGCGGATTCAATAATTACTCACCATTGATAATGAAAGTTTTTTTGGAAGAGTTTATATTTTTTTGTATCTGATCAACACGCAAATTATTAACAAACCTAAGTTACAAGGAAACAGCGAAAAAAGACTTCCAAAGGGATTTAATGAATAATTGTAAATAATTATTGCAAATATTCAACAAAATATTGGTTCATTATGTCTAATGTGATTATAGAACATTACAAAACATTGATTAAAATATTCGTTCACAATAATTGAATGGCAAATAATATTTCTCTTTGGCTCCTGAAATAACAAATATTGAATGAGTGATATTAACAATGTTCATCGTATGAACATCAGTCAGAGTTTGAAAATTTCAAAATTACAGAGTTCAGTCAGAGTTTGAAAATTTCAAAATTACAGTATTGTAATAAACTACTGAGACTTCAATACGTACTAATTATAAACTTGTACAACCCTTCTAATCTTTTTCAATATCATAGGACATATGAAACATTGCCATTACCACTCCTTGTGATTGTTGTTTTCCTTTTCTAAAAGTTCAACAATTTTGAGACATTTTTTTCAAAACTAAAGTTAGTAGCGCACCAATGATTCAGTATTCACATTGGTGCCACAGTGTGGCAAACGAATAATTATTGATCTTTGGGTTAAAAAAGGGTTAGTATACGTATACGTTTTTATCCACATGAAAAGCTCAAAAATATGTATGGATAGTAGTAATGAGTTTTTCATCTTTCAAGGCTGGTAATAAATGTTAAATGTTCTCCTCGTGGCAGAACTGGCAAACAACCTCGAAAACAAAAATAAAAATAAGAAGAATGTTATGGTGACATTTCTCATTTCTTAGAGGTTAGTTGTGGTTAGGAAATTTCCAGTTGGGGCTAATTTTGTATTTCATTTATAAACATTGTATTTAACTTACAAATATGGAAAATCCTTCTTTAAAACATCTTACTCGGCCAGATTTTGGTAAACCTCCTGAAAATCAAAATGAGGTGAGTAAATCACAGTTGAAATTTTGAGATTTTATTTACATTATATTTGTTTGTAGAAATTACAGAAACTGGGAGAACCTCATGTTAAAAGTTTCAATTATATGATCGAAAAAGGACTGTCTGCAGCCATCAATGACTTGAATCCTGTAGAATTCTTAGTAAACGAGAGAAGAGTGAAGTTGTCCATAAGTAATTTTTCATTTGCGAAACCTGCAGTACCTGTGGGAACTATTGGCGTAAAACGTTCAAATATACTTCCGGCGGAATGTAGGCAGAGAGCAGCCACTTACAAAGGAAAATTTTTCGTTGATATCGACTGGTACATAGATGACCAACAACAGCAGTCATTCCAGAAAGATTTGGGAGATTTACCAGTAATGATTAAGGTAGGATTGATTATACACTTCAATATTTTCATTTATATTTTCGAAGTTTATTCTTTCTCAGATATTTTTCATACATGTATTCCTCTATAGAATGAACTTCTGAAAATATTTTTCTGCTCTCCTTCAGTTCATCGGGTGGACCCCATTTTGAGGAAGGGCTAATAATAATTGCCCATTTTCTTTTCCTTATTATTCTCACCATAGCCATAAATGGGATCCATATCAGGACAATGGAAAGGATACTTTTCTGCATTATTATGGTCATTTCAGAATGTGTTTCTTCAAAATAACGAACTAGACTTATTACTGTAAACATTGGTAATAAAAACGAAGTGAACACAAGTGATAACTGGAAGTAATTTGATGGTGGGAAACCGAGCATAAAATACAAATCATCTGCCAAGTGAAATATGTGATAGAAAAATACTACTGCTATTACTTGAACAGTGTTTATCACAGGAAGTAAAGTTGTGTAAGTAATATCGTTTATGAATGTACTCAGTTTAAAGCCTGTAGTCGTGTGCAAAACCCAACCTGGAAAACAAATGATTCCAGTGAATGCCAGAGAGCAAATCCAAGAATATCTCTTTAGGGTTGGCCTTATCTCATATACGATTTGCAGAACTGTGTATGCCATCAGAATGGAACAGCTTAAGCCTGAAAATAACGAAATGTATATTGTACAAATGGATCTGCTGAAAGAATGAAACCATGCAGACAAATATATAGATATTTATATCATCAGGCAGACATATTTAATAAACACACTTCAATGTGAGATTTCCACTTGTAAGTGTTTCTTTTTACAATAGCGTCTTCAGGAATCACAATACTACAATACTGTTTGAACCAATTCTATGTCTTTTATATTAATTTGAATCAGTATAACTATTACTACCTGTCAAAATTCTACATGATAAATTCAATACCTGAACTACTTACATTTCTAGGAAAACCTTATGAATCTGGAGAATAATGAATACAATTTTCACCTGAGCCATCATTTTACTTACTTTTAAGTTCTTTCCTGATTACCAATTTTCCTCACTGCAAACTAAATTCAACAAAGGGGAACAATTCAAATCTATTTGATCATTGAGCAATGATACCGAATTTTTAAATCTATTGATTTTTAAACATTCCTAGAGGTTGAGTTTTGAACCTTTCTTTTCCAAATGCAATGTATCATACTCGTAATTGAACTTGTGCCCCTCTGTCAAAAGATGGTTGGCAAATGTTGGATTGGTTTTTTCATTCAAAAAACTACTTCTATGCTATTGTATAATGAAACACGTGTGGCGGTTTTGTAAAATTTCAAGTAAAAATCCCATATTGAAGTGTTTTTTCAATAATTTACTGAAAGTTAGTTGGCAACGATAGTAGTTACAGATATATTTTATAAAGGTAGATGGGTGGTTACTTTTGATTCCTGTAAATACTTTTTTTATAGAGTGGATGTTAGAACTCCATTTGTTATTACAACTGATGTATGCCCCTGTAAATAAGTGTAGTATCAAAGTAATTTCAGAAGAGCAAATCACCCAAAAATATTTCTATAAATCCTGTCTTTTAATTCGAAACCTACAATAAATTATTTAATTGATTCAAGCTCACCTCGTAGATAAAGGCTTGAAAAGATTATGAACTGCCATACTTGAGGGTGACCAGGCATTGAAGAAAGTGCATTTGGTATTATCATGAATATGTATGAGAAATCCGGATTTGTTCTAACAGTGTCTTTGACCCTTTCTATATCCTCCCTGGTATGATAACTTACTATACCATAAAGATTGGCCATAAAAAAGGAGTGTATAATTGTGTGACCAAAATTTGTCAGGTTAATCCATATTGGATACTCATGAGAAGGGGCTCTGAAGTTGCTTTCTGCTGCTATACTGGAATAACCACCTGAAATCAGTTGAACAAAATAGATTTGTACGCAGTGATAACAGTGATTGCATTGCTTTTTTTTACACTTTAACATTAGAAGGAATAAATATTCCAATACTAGTAACAACTACCTTAAATTAAGATTTGAGTCAAAATCAGTAATAATGACAAACAAGATAGGTCAAATGACAAAATCCAAAGACGCTATACAGTAAATATCTTTCCTTTCATATTAATAATGTTATCTCTATCAACTGATTTTCCTTTCCTCTGATTTTTTCAAACACATTTCATTCAGATGGGAAATTGATAAGTTCATTTATCAAAGGAGCTGCTTATCCTTTCACTTAATAGAGTCTTTGGAATGGATAAGTGGGAAATGGAAAAATTCTAGTTATTCCACTAGTTATTCATTATTATCACCTGTTACAAATATTAAGCTGTCTCGAATTTGTTTTGACTTTATAATTTATCTTATTGGCCATATAACAACTGATCTCTTAGAAAATGAAAGTAAAACTAGTTTTCTACGGCTGTTCAATAATTAAATGATTCAAGTTACCTAGACCAATTCCCAGGGAATAAAACATCATTTGAAAACTCAGAAACGTGGCCGATTCTCTTCTCCATGGAGCCAATTTATCAAAATTGAAGTTTATTGTGATGAAATTCTTTATTCCTCTTAAACTTCCAGGCATTAAGGTAACAACATATATAAAAATTACCATTTCTATGGACGAGACTACAAACGAAAGGCTTATGATTTTTTTTAAGCTCTCTAGTCCCTTGGAGGTTGCCAAAAATATGACTGTCATTGTAGCGCAGAGACAGCCTACGAGTTTCCAATGGGGATCTGAAAACCATTAATAAGGTACAATTTCTGCCAAAGGACAGAAATTTGTGAACATAAAGTCATGAATGAATATATCTCTGATTCTTTTTCACTGGAATCATATATTATTAATAATCTCTATTAATACCAAAAAACTAAAAGTTCATGACAGTGATAGAATTTAAATAGCAATTAAATAAATTATTTGAATACTAATTGATCAAATTATCTAAAAGAGCAATTCGTTCCGTCTGCCAGTGTGTTCCGATAAATGAAAATCTATTCCGACAGTTGTATCACCAACAGCATATGCAGGAATTACTTCTGTGGCGAATCCTGCAGTGACACCTGTCGGATACAACCCAACACCCTACGTGGTATTACTTATTTTCTGAAAGGTGTCAGTAATATATCTTAATAAAACAATGTATTTTTCCCGAAAAACATGCACTTATTTTTCAAAAGAGGTAATAACTGCAAAATATAAATTGAAATAATGAAATCAGATATGAAAGAAGTGAGATAATAATTTTTTCAAATTCAGCCTAAACTTCATCTATAAAATAATGTATCTAACAGTTTTGCAATGATTTACCTGATAATTTATTGTCTCTATCGACATTCAATATTTCTTTGAACCAAAATTTTTCTGCATACGATCCATACTGCGCCCTTTCTACAGAACCGTTGAAATGAACATTAAAACAGTGTGATGCGTTAGAACCATTCATGTCACATTTTTCCAGAGATTCATATTTGGGAATGGCGCAAAAGCAGTAAAGTAAAATGTAGCTGTTCACAGCATTATAATACAATTGGAATATGAATATCGTGACAGCTTTGGTGTAGCCTATGCCTCGGAATAAAGGGCAAAGGTCCCATGATCCTGCAATAATGATAATTTTTTAAAAGGATGTTGGTTTGTTTGGGGAATGATAGCTCGGTGAGATGTACTGATTAGTGTAGTGTAGGCTAGATGTACGATTGAACAAATTGATTATTTTTGAAATTATATTTACCTACAACTGATTTTCGAGAATATTGACTAAGAACCAGTTCCATTTGCATCATTGGAATTCCCATCACTATCATCAGGAAGATATAGGCGATCAAGAGATCAAGAAAGGTACCTCTCAGGAAAAACCTGGGAGTGTGATATACGTTAACCAATCCCGAGGTCCAAGATATTAAAGCCATTATATAGAATTTGTTCGATTTCCATCCCGAAACTGGAATGTTATTTTCACTTGTGTTGTCGCTCATAATAATTGCGTTTTTCTGTTTTTGACAGAACGTCATTGTCATATATGTATTTCGTATACAAAGTGTTTCGTTATACATTCAGCATGTACTGATTTACTATTTTTGATTCTCTGTATCTTCTTTCGCAGGAGCGAATCAGTTTCTTACATTTTCTGAAAAGCCGCAGTTTTTTTGTATTCAACCTCAACAGATTAAGTGATGTCACCAAATATATGAAAAGTACAGATTGAAAGATTCTGAGAAAAACTACTCTTCAGGTTTCAAGCCTACATAATTCATTTTACACGCAGAACAGTGTTCAATTCGTTTTATAAAATCAACAAGAGCAAACTTAATGCTGATGAGAACAATGTGGTGATAATCACAGAAAACAGTGAATGGTGAAAGTCTGAAGGAGGTGGAGAACCTTGATATTCCTCCTGTGGGGGGGAGCCCTTGGGGGGGAATAATACTTCATGTCACTAGCCAACAGATGGTACTGAAATAATTTCGATGAAATATGGAACCTCTTTGCTTTTCCACTGGATCCTTCATATGAAATCATTGTAAATATGAATAGGGTACCTTTTATTATATCACTTCGAATAAAAATGAAATTGTTACATTTATACCTACTTTAGCTAGAAAAGTTATCATTGAAAATTTGAAGTTCAAAAGTAACTTGAGTCACACACTGAAGTGAGAAGTTGAAGATCCGTACAAGAAATCTAAGTAGAAAATAAGAAATTGTATTTTTTTTTTTGAGAAAATGCATTTGTTATTATGGTATAGTAGAGAATAATTTTTTGGTTAAAAAACTCTTAGGTCTTAAACATTATATCAGTTAATAGTGATTTCTTTATTTCAGTCAGACCGTTGCCATTTATCTAATATGAAACCGAAAGACCTGGTAGCTGAAGGAGAGCACGAACAAGAATGGGGTGGATATTTTGTAATAAAAGGCTACGAGAAGTTAGTGAGGATGTTGCTGATGACCAGAAGGAATTATCCAATAGCCATCAGAAGGTCGGGTTGGAAGCAGAGAGGAGAACAGTTTTCGGACTCTGGTGTCTCTATCAGATGTGTCAAAGAGGATCAAACAGCAACGGCTAGTAACTTCTTTACACTTTTTCAGTTAAAAAAAGTTCTCAGTAGTAATTTAGATTAAACTTTCTAATTTCATGTGCAGAAAATGAGTTCGTTTTCCTAGTAATGTTGGTTTTGAAAGATATTCGGTATATCAATTTCAATAAGTAAATGAAGGAGACTAGTTTTCACTATTTTATGTTACTTTTCGGTGAGCAATTTCACGTTATGCTTAAAGAAAAAATTTACTGACTAAGCGTTTTTTTGGATATTTGAAGAAGTAAACAAGAACCGACATTGGAAGACTTTCTTACTGAATGATTTCTGGCAACTCTAATTTGAGAAATATTAAGTTTAATATTTCTCTTGAAGATGATCACTTGGTGATCGAAACACGTGTCGAGGTGTTTCAAACAGTGCATCACAAACATACTAAGTTATTAGGAAAAATGACATTCTTATGTAGTTACAATAGAAAGTTATAAACAATCAATATGTTTACCTGTAGTGAATGCAGTTTTTCAAATACACCATAGAAAATGAATGTAAAAAAACTGAATTCATTATAACTGAGCCTCAAATAAAAATTAACAATGAGGTATTCGAGGTGATAGACATTTAAATATCTATGGGCCGACCATTAATCACGTGGGGCTTGAAAGGGGGGAGGAGGTTTAGCAAAAATCACGAAATATCACAAGGGGGGGAGTGGGGTGTAGTGAGTTATCACGTGTATTTATTTTTTCGTGAAACGCGCGATTTCTAAACAGAAAAGCAGCGTGTAATGTGACTTTGACTCGCCGGCAACGAACGAATTCCCCGCGCACCACGACGCCCATATGAACGATAACTCTCAGAAGTTGAGAAACTTGTGCGAGCTAAGGACTAACGAGGTCTTACCTTTTAACGTGTGATTCCTAACACGTTCATTTAGGAAAATAATAAAAAACTGTAACACTCTTATATTACCCTATTTCAACTACAATACTATATTTGCTCAATAGAAATGAAATATACATTGAAAAATCATAAAGTCGTGCAATGAGACTGATTTTTTTTGTCACAAACTCTCCATAATAAGGAATATGTTGAGTTTGTTGCCTATTCATAAATTATTTTTGTATTAAACTCATTTTACAGACAAATGTATTACACTACTTAACAGATGATTCTTTCAAATTGATGTTCAGCTACCAGAAAAATTTGTATTATATACCTTTGTGCTTGATACTGAAGTGTTTATTTTCCGATGTCGACAGCTACATTTACAGAAAACTGATTCAAGGTTATGAAGATGACACTCGCTACACTGAGTAAGTTTCTTAAATCAACCTGAATATATATTCAAGGTACATCTATACATAAAATCTATAAAAAAAGTTACTTCATTTTCTCATTTCAGTATTGTCAAGGACATGTTACATGCACTTCACGCTGAAAATCTGCACACAACCGAAGATTGTAGAACGCACTTGGGGAAAATATTTCGAGTGAAATTCAACGACTGTCCTGAATGGAGCACAGACATTGAAATAGCCAACTCCATAATAAAGAAATGTATTTTGATACACCTCAACAGCAACAAGGAAAAATTTGATTTGCTGGTCTTTATGACTCAGAAGCTGTTTGCTTTTTCAAAGGACAAGTGCAAAGTGGAGGGCGCGGATGCAGTTATGATGCAGGAGTTACTTCTTGGTGAGAAATTGTAATTTTTTAAACAAGATTTTAGTTTCAAATGTATCACAAATATTTTGCATAGTGTAAAACGAAGTCGCTTTCCGCTGTCTATCCCTATGTATGCTTCTATTTTTGAAATTACACAACGGATTTTGATGCGGGTTTTTTAATAGATAGAATGATTCAAAAGTAAGGTTTGTAAGTATATAACATGCGTCATATAGTAGAGAAACACTGATAATTTTAGAGGTTTCTAATGTGATGTCGTAAATAAACTGAACCCTACAAGATAGATCAAAATAATGTACTACAGTGTTGTACACTTTAAAAAGGTCTACAAAAAACGGGCGATGGTATATGTCTATTTCTTTATGATAATCCACAATAACCATTTTTCATCCTTTACTTTTTATGAGAAATATTGTTTTATTTACGAAGCGATTTTAAGCAATACAGCATTATTTCTTATCCAATTAAGTACCTTGTGCATTCAATATAGATCAATATGGCTCTTTGCAGCATGTAATTTAAATGGATATTTTCGAAGATATTACAGATTTGAACGGTTGCGGCGGTACCGGCCGGGGGGCCGGCTGCGCTTGCCTATAAATAGCGCGTCTAAGGCCGCGCTTCGCCCTACAACACTTTATGATTAGCAGTGATTACACATATTTATCGGAGCTAGCGAGGACAGTAACAATACTTCAAAGATATTCTGTAGTATATTTATTTATTTATTTATTTATTTCATACACCATTCTACAGGATGAACCCAATTACAGAATAGGAAGTAACAGTGGCATTTACAAATATGTACTTACATAATATAATTTGTGAATCTATGTAAAAAAAAAACTGATTTTGATCTGTATAATCTGGCAGTTGAATATATGACATGACTTACAGAATTAGAGGTATTGCACATTATATAATCTGTTTCAAATCTGTTTTTCTGTTAATCAGCTGTCGCCCCCATACGAACGACAACTCTCAAAAGTTGAGAACTTGTGCGAGCTAAGGACTAACGAGGTCTTACCTTTTAACGTGTGATTCCTAACACGTTAAAAGGTAAATTGTATATATCTGTAAATTGTATATATCTACGCAGAGTATTGAGATAAAACGTGACACTACAAGATTGGTGGTGGTTGAACATCCTTTCATGAAACCGTGTTGATTGGGGCTAATAATGTTGCTGACATTATAATAGATTGTCTTCTCAAGAAGCATCTCAAACACTTTACAAAAGTTGCATATGATAGAGATTGGTCTGTAATTTTTTATCTCACTTTTATCTCCCCTTTTGAAAATTGGGCAGACTTTCGACATTTTCATATTGATGGTACAGTTGATGTTTTCAAGCATCTTTTAGAGTTGTTAGTGGTTCAAGCAGAGCTGAGGCACAATCTTTGATGATGAATGCTGGAATATGATCAGGTGCCGCAGTAAATTTAGGCTTTAATTTTTTAGGGTATGATAAACATCTTTAATACTAAAGTTTTTGATTACTAAGCTGGGAATATCACTACTGTCATATCACCATTGCACCCTTGCAGAGTCGAGGTGGATCGCTACTTTACTAGTCAACTTTATTTTGATTTTCACTATTGATGGTTTACAAAACCGCGAATATATTAAGAAAACACCTTATCCACTCTGATGATTTCTCCAGAAGAGTGTTAAAAGCAAATTGTTTAACAATTCATTTTATTGGCTCACGGATGTTTTTGGAGAGAGATGTCAGATTTTGAACTATTGTTTCATATTGAGTTGAAAGTTGTCAAGTATTATAACATCCTGTTCTTTATATTGTTTATATATTGTAAAATTATTAACAAGTTACTTCCATAGTATTTCAGTCAATTTATTGACTTTATTTCGTAAATACAAGATTGCCCAACTAGGAAAATGACTCGTTACATCTGGGGAGATGAAACAGAAAATTAAAAAAATTATCAGTGCGAGGAAATCTTCATTTCATGAAGAACTTGCTGAGTTCCCTAAAACCAAATGAGATCAAAGAACTAAATACCATATATGAGTTCAAATAAAAAATCAGCAAACATAATCACTCCATTTAAACAATGTTTCTGAAAATTTAACCTTAAGCACTAAAACATCTTCAGTATATATCCAGTATTTTTTGTATGAAAGGTAATCAGGAATAGAAAGAGTAGTAGATAAACTTCAACTTTTGTTAGGTATTTATTGATATATTTGTACATGCAAAAATTTGTTCGTTACAATGTGTATTATGATTGTATATATTGAGATGTATCTTACTGAAAAATTAATATTATGATTTATTGAAATTTGAAAAATGTGAAATTGGGTTGTTTCAGGCGGTCATCTGTACCTTCAACTGGTCAAAGAAAAACTTGCCTCTTGGCTCGTTGGTCTTAAAATGAGCGTCTTGAAGTGCTCCAAATCAGCCAGCTTTACTTTCAGTTTGAACGATATGATGAAAGCTTCACGCAGCAGTGGAGGGATACAAACGCATCTGGAAATGTTCCTAGCCACAGGAAACATTACCAGCTTATCAGGTCTCGGCTTAATGCAAGACAAGGGATTAGTCATTATGGCGGAAAATATCAATCGCATGCGATACATGTCGCACTTTCGGGCCGTCCACAGAGGTGCTTTCTTCCAGGAAATGAGAACTACGGAAGCGAGACAACTCCTTCCTGATGCTTGGGGTTTCATATGCCCGGTACATACCCCAGATGGTGCGCCATGTGGCTTGTTGAACCATCTTACAAATGATTGCATCGTTACTGATGTTCCTGATGAAGAAAAAGTCAAGAATATCCCTCCGCTTCTAACTAGTCTTGGGATGGTACCCTTGAATTACGCTGAGGAAATTCTAGATTTCAAAACCAGTATCGCAGTTCAGTTGGACGGCAGGATGCTAGGTTATGTTGCCAGCAGGGAAGCAGCTGCAGTTGCAAATAAGCTACGTTCATACAAAATTGAAGGGGTAAAAGTTCCTGAAACTTTGGAGATTGCTTTGGTACCTTTGAAGAAGTCCGTCTCGCAGTATCCGGGATTGTTTCTGTTTACTGGACCGGCACGAATGATGAGACCCTTATTAAATTTGTTTGAGGGCAAGACGGAACTAATTGGAACTTTTGAGCAGGTTTATTTGGATGTTTGTATGAGGCCCGAAGAATTCTATGGAGGTAAGTTCATTTACTTTAAATTTATAACATTAGGGGAAAATGGTTAATACTTCAGACAAATGTTATGTAAGGATCTTCTGAAGTTTGTTAACTTCAGGGTGATTTGTTCACATTAATCTACCAAAAGTTATTCGCTCTCTCTGCTAGTTCAATATGTTGAGTTGGAAACAGCGAATAACTTTTGGTGGGATTGACTGAATCTGGAATGAGAATTGTTTTTGAGAAATTATATGTATGTTTTGTTTTTATATATTGAGTTATGAACAGAAATTGCCCCTTTATCTATATTTGAATGGACATCTCTCTTTTATGTTGACAGTTAGTTTGTTCATGGTTTATATTATATCAAATAGCTGATTGGATCTATTAATTACCAGCAATTATCATTTTTTGACACAATCATATCAATGAACGTTAATTTACGCGTTTTTTGCGATAACCTCACTTATTTATTTCTAATAAAAAATACTATTGGCAACATCGTTTTTTAAAGAACACTAGAACTAGAAATATTGACAACTACAGAAGTACCCATATTGGTCTACAATTTCTGAAACAAAAGCTTATTCCAGAATCCATCAGTGTATGGACATCTTGTATTGAACATGCATGATTGTATGGAACAATTTTTGGATTTATCTATTTTTCAATACAAGAAGTCACTTCCCAAAATTTAGTGATTTTTTGCTGGAACTTAAAAAAAAACAATTTTCACAGATGAAATAGTTTATTTTGTAAGGCTGTTGCAAACATGTTCACAATATAGGTATTTGATCAATATTTAAATAAATTCAGTGTAAAAAATTATAACACAAATATACAGAGGCAGTATCACATTGATATAAATCAATAGCTTGAAATTGTATAGAGGATGATTCTAAAAATGCACGAGTTTCACTTATTTCTAATTCAATTGAGACTAGCTACTTCTACAGATATTTAGTATCGAGTATCTAATAAAAAATGTACTCAATTATCTCCTGCTCCTACTGCATTCACCTTATCGAATACATCTTTAACATCTTGGAATACGACTTCTTCAGGCCTTGTAGCATCAATTTTTCTTACTAAATTAGATTTATCATAATAGTCAATAATGGGACGAGTTTCATTCAAGTATGTGTTGAAACGCTTTTTCAAACTTTCGGGGTTGTCGTCCACTCTACCGCTTCCACTGGCTCCCCTGTTCAAACAACGCTCCAGGCAGATTTCTAGAGGACAGTCAAAAAACAGGACAAACTGAAGTAGCACTCTGCTCGCTACAGTGTTATTCCAGCCTTCTAGATTGTTTTGGTTTCTAGGAAAACCGTCTATGAGGAACTTTTCTTTTCCAGACTTTTTCATCGCATTCTCCAAAAGACTGCAGGTAATTTCCACCGGTACAATTTTACCTTCGCGGATGTAATTCTCTATCAGTTCTCCGTATTCTGACCCTGGATTGTTTCGTTCTTCCCTTAGTAAATCGCCCGCCGATAAATGTACGTATCCGTAATTTTCCACAATTTTCTGACATTGGGTTCCTTTTCCGGCTCCGGGGCCACCCAAGACGAAAACAACTTTTGGGGGCATTCTTACGATTGCGGCGAAAGTTCTCACAAGCTTGCTAGCCTTACTGGAAAACGACTCGAGCATAACCTCACATTTTCATAGATTTTATAGGTTTGATGATTTGGCAGTTACGTAACAAGATTAATTAGTCTATTCTCCGAAGATTATAAGTTTTTAAAGCATAAGTAATTCATTTTCGTAAAAAAAAATTGTCAAATATGCCTCTTTCTTTTCATTTGACGCAATTTTTTACAAAACGGGAGTGACTAGTAGTTCGGCCGTTCTGTAAGATAGGAAACAAAAATTTTACCCATTCATTTTTTTTGTCAAAAACACTCCGTATTTCAATTTCACATTTGTATCACAGCGGGGGTAATAATTAAATAAGTATTAATACAGTGAAATGATTAGATTTTATCAATGATGCTCAGTTAAATCATGACTATTGTTAAACTTTGACGTCAACCGAAACCTTTCCGACTTTGGTTTCTTACTCTAGTTGCCTGCTTGCAGTGAACGTTGCAAGGAATCACAAAAGCGACAACCGGTTAACTGAAAAACAGATTTTAATGGGCAGATTTTTTAACAGACATGGTTTAAATATTTTTTTTCAATAACTCTCTTCCTCCTGCGAACGGCAAAACCCTCAAAAATCGAGTTCACAAGCAAATGATAACCTAGGTCTCACCTCAAGTGTGACACGGTATAGATAGGAATCAGGGTCGATGAATTTTCCCGTTCTCATAGTTTCAGTTTCCTAGTAGGTATTAAGTTACCTTGAAAGCTGCAAAAGGATAACGAACAAAAAACATTCGACCCAGTTTTTTTTCCAATTTATTTACAAAACAAATCTTACGTTACGTTTAATTTATAGCCACTCTAAGTGTATTCTTGTTATCTTCCGTAACACGTATTTTTATAGCCACTCGCAGTATATTCTTGTTGTCTCCCGTAAAGCCTAGCTTATAGCCACTCCCATGTATTCTTGTTGTCAGATGTCAAAAATCATTGATCTTACTTTAACCAATCGGAAGGTAACACGCCGATTGACTTGGTTTTGGACTTATGAGCATGGACAGGGACGTATCTGAAATCATAGAACTGGTTGGAGATGTAGGTGAATAGTTGACAATACACTCAGTATTCGTGGATTCTTAATCTCAGCTGCTCAGTATTTCTGAACAAGTCAAACAAACTTCTCCAATTCAAATATTGTTTCTATAATCCTAACATTCGAAAGTTATTAATACTTATCATCTGATTTTCGAATTTAAAATAATTGATCGTCAAAAACAAAGGAATATTTAAATTTTTTTTGCGCCACTGAACATTTTTAACTGAGGGGAAATGTAGCAATTTGTTTAATCAACATTTTTACACGAGTGCGGTAATCTAGCTTTTTCTTGTTGTGTTTGAACTTTGAGAGACGAAAACACACGCATATCTTCCACAACATTGTGGAATGGCCTTATCTAATCGGATGAGACAGAACCTGTTCGTGTCACGATAACAGTACGTGGAATACGGTTATTTGATTTTAATCATAACTTTAGAACTTCGTTAAAATTCAAAGGGGGAAGTATAAAGCCAAAAGCTTTTTTTCTCAAAAAATTTTCTCTGAAAATATCTCCCCTTCAAAGATATTTCCCCTTTCAATTTAACTGTCACCCTCTTCTGCTAATTTTCATCGTAATAAAGATTGATGCTACAATCCAAACAATTTTAAAACTCTAGATGAGGTACTCACATTATCCTCTGAAGCACAGTCACAAACTGAAAGGTGGTTCAATGCCAACGAATTATATCTGAATGAAAACAAAACCCAAAACATGGTATTCACCCAAGGAAATATGAAAAATTATTCAAATTCGCAAAGTAGTGTGAAATTTCTGGGAATTCATATTGACAGTGAGTTAAAATGGAATCATCACATAAATGTGATGCGGCATATTTTTCCTTGTATGAATCCATGGTATTGTCGCCTGGGGACATGCAACAGATAGAATATCCAACACAAAAGGAAAATATCGACTACAGAGATGAATGTTGAAATTCATTCGTTATATTAAAAATACTAACTTTTCCTTCTCTCTATATCATGGAAAATTCAATATACATAAAAAATAATCTATCTCAATATTAAAGTTTTGAAAATGTGCACGACCACAACACTAGACCAAGAAATGATTCGAGTACAAACTAACAAATTTTTGGGCTGTAAAATTTTACAATAAATTACCACGAAAAATAAGATCTCTACCTAATAATATTCATCTATATTTGAAAAATTATATATCAACATTTTTCAAATTTGTTGTTCAACAACTTACAAATTTTTGGGCTGTAAAATTTTACAATAAATTACCACGAAAAATAAGATCTCTACCTAATAATATTCATCTATCATATTCGCCTATATTTGAAAAATTATATATCAACATTTTTCAAATTTGTTGTTCAACAACTTAAATCAAATTATCTATTCTAGGAAATGTTACAACCCATATGGAACTTTCGATGACAGGGTTCCTTTCGAACTTAGCCAAGCTCATCCCCATGCCAGACTGCAACCAATCTCCGCGTAACATGTACCAGTGTCAGATGGGAAAACAAACAATGGGGACTGCTTGTCACAATTGGGATAGCCAATCCGAAACCAAACTATATCGCTTACAGACACCTGCTTCTCCTTTATTCAGACCAGCTCACTACGACGATATGTTGATGGATGACTATGCTATGGGTACTAATGCGATAGTTGCTGTTGTCAGTTACACGGTAAGTTTATGTGACTGAAAACTTACCTTGACTCAAAACTAGGCATCTTTAAAAGTCCTGGTTATGTAAGTAGGCTAATTTGATACAAAAGTAAAGTTTAATTGTATTGACTAAAAAATAATTTCATGTGATATTTCTACTTGCATTGTGTCACAATACAGTAATGTGACGCCTGAAGGTGCTATTGTATAGCGAAACACTTGACTCGGTTTTGTACACTGTCAAGTGGAAATCTTTCATTAAATGTTTTTTTTTTTAATATGTTATAATGAATATTCATCAAGTATCAATCAGTTCTATCATATGTTTGTGGAGTTATATTTTGAAACGCAGTATCTAATGTGATATGTGAATAAACTAATTTTTTAGTATATAAATCAGTGATAGTATATTCTGTCAGTCTCTGTGTGTGTAATTGCATATTTTACCCTGATATTTAGAGTGAAGTGTACTCTGTCTGTACTTGTACGTATCTTTTAACATTCAACTTTTTACTCTGTAATTTTGCTTTTTGTCTCTATAATCCAAATTTTTGACATGTCTTATACCACTTGTGGCCTTCAGATTAATAAATTTGATTGATTGATTGCCTGAACATCTCCTGTTACCGTAAAGGATCCACTTTTCATCACGTGTAACGATCCGATCCAAAAAAGGATTGGTTTGGTTGCGTAAAAGCAAAGAAGAATAAACCTCGAAACGTGACAATTTATGTCTATCGTTCAAATCGTAGGGCACACACTTTTCGAGCTTTATGATCTTTCCAATATGTTTTAATTCATCAACAACCGCATGTGAGCTGACGCCTAGATTTTCCGCCATCCCACGCACCGTTTGTCCTCAAAACCAGTGTCCTCAAAACCCCGTCCTTTATTACTGTAGGTCGACCACTTCGGGCCTCATATTCGAGGCTAAAAACTCCGGAATCAAATTTTTCAAATCAACGTCGAACAGTGCATTCATTAATGCTATCATTGCCGAATGACAGGTTCATTTTTGTCCCAAAATAGCTTAACGACATCATATAGTAATAGCTGAAAAGAGGCAATAAATTAAAGTTTGGAAAAGAATGAACAGCATCAATGTATGGACTATAACATTCTTTATTGATCAGTATATACCCCGACACAGTAAAATAAATATTCATTTAGATATGGAGGTAGAAAAACACGTTGCGTTGAAATGGACAACATTTTTGAAACAACCTAATATTATATGAAATAATGAAGAAAAGAGAATTGAAATTTTCTATGTTCTTTACCACTTTTATTTGCATCTAACGTTACTGCAGATTCGTTCTATTAGGACATTTTCAAACTTATACATTAAACCAACAATGGTTTATTACATTAACCTTTATTTAGAACCCCTGCAGGTAATAATAGAGGTACTTGGCTTGATTGAGTACCCGAATTTACAATTTACAATGCGGATGTACTAATTTGAAAACCGGCGAGTAAACTAAACCGATTTGATCATTTAACAGGTTGCACCCGCAATGTTTATGTTTGTGAATTTCCAATGATTCTAAATAATTGAGTTTGTAACCCTTCCTTGCGTAGTGCAAAATTTCAGTATCGTTTAGATTCGGAACCACGCCACATTATTCAATATTAGTTTCATTCGATGTAAAGAGTATGTTCTCCGACATACCGTACAACGAGTGTAGTCCCTCATTTTAGACATATTAGATCAAGCCAAAGTAGACCATATCACTTCCTTTGAAGTTTCAACAGATTTCGATGTGTGCCTAAATCAGAGCTACTTACAGTTCAACAACAAATTTTATAAACAGGATGCAGGTTTACCAATGGGCTCACCCCTTAGTCCACTTTTAGCAGACATATTTATGAACAACTTGAAGACAACTTTAGTAAATTCCGACCTGGGTGAAAAA